TTGATTTCCAAACCAGTACAGCAAATTGAAAGCAGAAAAATGTCAGCCAAAGGTATAATAGTCCCTTTCCTGGTCACACACTTGTTATACTTAGATGATAAGATATTTTACTTAAATTCAGCGTTCTTAGATGGGCATATAATTTGGACGCTACTTTAGATGCCCCACCTTGGGAAAAAGCTGTTTACCTTAAGATGAGCTATACCTTGAGCACTAAGCAAACAGAGTAATTGTAATATTTTAATAGCTATGTTTACATGCAGATCTTGAGATTACTTCTGCATTAGGTGATTTATAGGGCTATATTAAGTAAATCACACTTGGAATGCTGTTCCAAAGGATGAGTCACAAAATACTGACATTTCCCCTTTCTCCTTTCAAAAGAGAGCTCCAAGGGAAAGAGACAGAAAAAGAATTCCTCCACTCCCCATACTAATCTTAATGCTAATCAAAAAATCATCCCATTTACGTTTGTATTTCAGCTATTTTCCATATTGACTTCCGTTGAAATGTCTGTTTAAAGTGAAATTATCTAATGTAAAATTTCATAGAGATAAGTTGATGTTGTAGAAGAAAATAGCCAAAGCCATTATGGAAAACCTTGTCATTCCTAATACTGCGGCTTCTGCAGGCTGAACTAATTATTGCCTAATCTTTAACTTGAGGTATTGGTTAAATCAATTAAGTCGTTAGGAGTAATTTCAATAATGCTAGTGTTTGCGAGAACTACATAGCAAACACAATTCGCCTTAATTAGACTTTTAAATTCAGAGCCCTAAGTCTGGAGCCAAGTCCTCTATTTTGAATCTCTCTATATTCACTTAGTTGTAAGGGGAAATTTTTTAATATGTCTGGCTCTAAGTAATTAGTTTGCAAATTTGTAACGTGAGATGTTGTAGGAGCTGAGTTTGGGAAGGGAAGCAGAGCCTCCTCCCTTTTCATTTTATTAGCTTTTCCTGTATCTGGAGACTTCCTGCAAGGATGGAACATTCCTTTAAGTTCAGCTTGTGGGAGGTTTGCACCCATAGCATAAAATGCCTCCAGACAGGTACCTGCCACTGACCTTCGTGTACTTTTTGCCCTTTAAGAAAAAAGAAGAAGCAGTGCTTTTCTTCGTCAAGCCTCTCAGAGCCTGTGGTGGGCAGCTGAGCCATATGGGAGCGCCTGAGTTGTGTCTGTGCAGTCCTCCTGTCTCCTCCTCCCTGGGAGGCCTGGGTCTCCAGCGGCTGCCCTCCGTGCGCCTCTTCCTCTCTGAGCAGTAGATGCTGAGCTGGAGATCCTGTCCAGACCTGTGGGAAAGTGCACAGAGCACCAGCTATTCAAACTGTTCCTTTCCCACTCACTGGGAAAGGGACTCCAGACAGGAAGGTTTCATTAGCCTGAAAGAACATCGCTCCTTCATTTTAACTCTTTGGCTCCTATGGCAGTAAATCCGTTGAGGGCAGTATTCACATTTTAGATATTGAAGTTCTTTCTTGAGAGAATTATAATGGCTTTGCTCCCACAGAGACTTTTCCTAGTTATTTCCTTTACCAGACAAGAGTTAATCATAATGCATTCCTGCCCACAGAAAGTCCAGGCTTTAGTAGTGGGGTCCGTCACACTGGTCAGCACTGTAAGCAGTGCCATTTTAGCAGCGTGTATGCAAGTAACAGATTGGGAATCTAAAATTCGGATTATATTAGAATTTTAATATTCAGTAAAGTGTAATTTGTTTAGGGTTTTCCCATTCTTCAAAGGTTGCATTTGTCTAATTTTATGGCAACTTACTACATGACTGCATGTAGTAAGCAATGACTGCATCCCCCGCGGTGGAGAAAAGCTCGCTCTCTCTCCCTCTCTCTCCCCCCCTCCACCCACCCCCTGCCGTTTTGTAAGTGCAGAAACATCACCACAATAATGACATACAATTATAGTAAACATTGAACAATCTGTGCTTTCTCAGGTTTATCTTATCATCTAAACATATGGTGAGCCCAAATAGGTTAAGTGTCTTTTCCCTAAGGTGCAATATTTCTGCACTTTTGGATGCAATTTAAATTTTATTTTTAAAGCCTTACAATCACATATTTGAACATTCTGAAAATTAAACCTTGTCTGAACATAATTGCAAGAGTTAGCGGAAATTGAACAAATGAAATATAAAGACTTCCACTTCCTGTATATGAATTTTTAGCCTTTTCCCAAACTTTCTCTATTGTAAACTTAAAACAAAGTCTTATCAGCAAGTAACATAGAGTAGCAGCTGGATATCATTAAATCCCCCTGTCTAAGCTATTCTTCTTCATTACCTTTTTCCTGACAAGCTCTTGCTCTGCACAGAAAATGTAACTTTGTGATAGAGATTTATGTAATTCAGGTGTCCTCTATTCTGAGTGAGAGCTTGGCTGCAGAAGAAAGGGATTTGCAAAAATCCATAGAATTTTATAAAAAGAAAGGGAGAACCTGACAGAATTCAGTGAAGAAACACATGTTAACATAACCAGCTCATCAACCACTTTACCCACTCTCTCTTTTATAGGTTATTTGCATAATAAGAATATTTTTCTGCAAACTGGAATAGCTGGATTTTATTCTACTAATGCAAGGACATTAGCTACTTCATCATAAAATACACAGCAGTGTTCTCCAAATGCTTTCAGATTCAGTGAAACATTAAAATGTCTTTACTTAAGCAATGTAATAGAAAATACTGACAGACGTCTAACCATAAACACAAATTAGAGCAAGCAATGCCGATGCCTTTCTGAGTTTAGTGAAATGGTGTCACAGTTATTAAGTTGGTGGTGATGTGGTATGGTAACATACACACTCCAATTTGTGAGCATTTAATTTGGTCTCTACAGGCTTTCATATGTCAAAACCTGAGTTCAGGTTTAGGCGGTTTTCTTTAATGATACAACAGAACCACTGGGAAAAGAGACTTGTATCTTGGAGATGACAAGACACTAGGGAATCAAAAAATAAATTAAAAAAAAAGCAAATGAAAAGAATCCCTAATGACTCTCTGGAACATTAAATTGATTAACCTCTTCTTTCCTTGTCACAACAGGGATTTTTTTTTTTACCATGTGACCAAATTGATATCATAAAGAAATATAATCAAAAAGCACCGTCAACTATGCAGTTGATATTTATGCCCACCTACCTGCACTTACTATGTGAGTTATAAATACAAAAAAGTCTGAGAACTTATAAAATAGTTGATTTATCAAACCTAAATAGGCATAAACTTAATTTAGTGATTTAAATGTGAATAATACTCAGGTGATTATTATCATTTCATTGTGACATAGCTCCCTTTTTTTCACCTTTGTTTCACATTATTTCTATAAAAGCAGAATAAAAATGCCCGAATTGGACATAACAGCTTCCCCCAAAGAATGGAACTGTACTCTCGGTTAGGAATTTCACTTGCACTGCTGCAAGGACAGAGAAGGTAGAATATTGCGCGGACCCAGAACCTGCTCCGGCATCTGCCACTTCCACCCTGTCCCCAGCAGTGTGTCCCTGTGTGCTCAGTACCGGGCTGACTCCTCATCTCCTTTAGTGTTTTAGACATCATGTCCTCAGGGAAAGCTTCTCTGACAGTCTCCCCCTAGGGAGGAGAACCAGGGTCCATGTTCCTCCTGCTCACACCTGTGTCATGTATCATCTCAGTTGAGCACTTCACACTCGTAATTCTCTCTTTCTCTCTCAATCAGTGAAAGATATATGCCAGAAAGAACTTTCAGCCTTGGTGTGTAAGAGGTCATCTAACTGTCAGAGATCAGGAAGGCTCTGTGACATATTGGGGGCCCATCATCTTTTGGGAGGTTGATATGTGTGATCTCATTCACTCCCCTTAGGAAACCTGTGAAGTAGGAGGAAAATCCCCTTCACAGACTCAGAGAAACTGAGGATTAGAGAGGTTGAAAAGAACCCGCCCAAGATCATGCAGATAGTAAATGGCAGAGTCTACATTTGAATTCAAAGGTTTCTGACTAAAACACCTGCTATCTTAAACAATTTCTAAAAATTATTTTTTACTGACTTACCTAGGAACATCTAAACTCAGGCAGCTGTTACTTTGACACCTGATTATATAGTGCTTTGGACCCTTTTTGAGTTATCTGTATGACTTGTTTCATTAATAACATTATGAACCCCTAATGGACGCTGGATACTTTTTAAAACCATCTCCCCCTACCGCCACCTCTACCTCTACTTGCTACCTAGGGGGTATCAAGAGCTAGACATATAATAGTAGATGTTTAATAAATACTTCTTGAAAATATGAAAATTAAAGGTAAAACACTGTATTGTTTACAACAGACAGATGACAGACTTCAATTTTGGATCAAACTCAAGGACCAAAAAATTAAACCTGAGTAATCAGATGTTTTATCTTTTTCCTTTTTTTTTTTAAGGGAAGGGGGAATCTATGTCCATTAATAGAGAACTATTTAATGCCTAAATTAAAACAGTTAAATAAATTATGATAATTCTGTAATATGATTTGCTTGCAGCCATAGAAAAGAACAAGAACATTCTTCATGAAACGGGAACACCTCTAAGATAGGATAGGATGACAAAGTAAGGTCAGAATAGCGTGTATTGTGTAGTATTAAAAAGGTGGGTGAGGGAGATCTGAATGTTACTGTGGTTGCCTGGTTGAGGGAGGTGGTGGGGGGGGTGGGCACTGGGCAGAGGAGTGCTCAGGGACTGAATGGAGACAATACAGTATATCCCTTGCTAATTTTTGAGATTTTAGCCATATGAATGCAGTATCTGATTTTTAAAAATTAGATTTTCTGGAATTCTCACATATGATGTAGCTTAATAAGAAACCTTTTTCAATCCCTTTTCTGTAAGAGCAGAATAATCCTGTATTCAAATTAGAAGTATATTAAAAACCAAATGCTGGTGCTTAAATCAAACCTCACAAAAACATTGTAAATAAAGGGTTTTGCTGTGTTTTATCATTTAATGAAAGAGGGAGTTGCTGGCTCTCCACACAGATGTCATGCGCCAAGAAAAGATGGATCCCAACTGGGGACAACGGAGGGAAGATGTATCATGGTGCCTCTGACACTCAGGAACCCCCAGGAGCCCCAGGACCTCAGCGCAATTGCTCAGGGAAATGCAGCATTGTAGGTCTGGGTCTGTTCTGCCAGATGGATATTAGTATCTTAAAATAGACCAACTTTTTTTTTCCACCACTGAGAACATTTTAAATGGAATCTCTCTTAGATTTAAATGTTTTTTAACCTTTGGTGGACCCTTAATGAAACCTTGTTAAGTATCTTTCATTTTCTTGCTACTTGATGAAATTAATGTCAGCCGGTTTAATTTCAAAGCATGCCAAACATGTTAACCTGCAAATCAATAACTTTTCCTTTTCAATCTTAACTACTTGATTTTAAAATATTAACCCTTAATAATTTCTTTAATTTTTTAAAATAAATTTTAGCCAAAACCCAAGTTCTGCCTTGATGATTCAATTATGTTTGTATATATAAGTGTTCATTTTCTTTTTTTTTTTTTTTAAGATTTTATTTATTTATTTGACAGAGAGAGACACAGCGAGAGAGGGAACACAAGCAGGGGGAGTGGGAGAGGGAGAAGCAGGCTCCCCGCAGAGCAGGGAGCCCGATGCGGGACTCGATCCCAGGACCCCGGGACCATGACCTGAGCCGAAGGCAGTCGCTCAACCAACTGAGCCACCCAGGCGCTCAAGTGTTCATTTTCTAATGAACAGGAATACTGGAATTGTTCTAAGGATTTGAAGGAATGTGCACATTGTGATTTTAAGGAGAGCATATTTTCCCATTTAGACCTTGACTAGAAATAGAGAAAAGCTAATCAGCCACCTCTTAATTTACTTTATTTATTTAATGAGCAACTTGGGTTTGTGTTAATTTCTGCCTTCATAAATTACCTTACTTTTAAATAATGAAGATTTTTCAACTCACTGCCCTTCCATCTGAAAATTGTTTTTTAAACAACCTTGGTTATAGTTTTCTATTTTGCTGGGAGAACTGGGTCATCGAAAATATGTGTGGGATGTGAAGTTTTGTTTTCTGCACAAAGGTTTGTCATGAGTCTAAACATTTCTCTCTCAAGTAATTTACCATTTAATTACATTGTGTTATGTTCCCTCAGGAAGGGGAGGAGAAGGGAAAGGAAGAAAACTCAAAAAAAAGAAAAGTTTTTTAAATGTGTACTGCATTCAGGATTTAGATTTCACCTTATAAAGTTTTTATTACAGTGTCCTCCTCCTCTCCTTGTGTCGTGAAACAGTGAATCACTCGTGTTTGTCTCTGAGGACAAATGTCGTTCTCATGTTTTATCCTGACACCTCTGAGATGAGCTTTCCATATGAAGAGAAGGGAGGACATCTGATGCTTCCAGTGTTATTTTGGGGCCTCCCGTTTTCTGGGAGTCGCTGACACATGTAGTTTGGGCAGTGAAGCCCAGCAGGAGGTGACATCAGGCCCATTCCCCTGCTGATTAATGTGCCTGAGGGTCCCTGCCACACTTTGCCCCCTTCCAGCATGTTGGTTTTAAAGAAGGAGCCTTTCATATGCTCCGCTGCCGGCTGAGCTGGGCAGAGGTCCAGTGGCGCCAACAATTTTCCGTCCTTTGTATGAGTGATCAGAGGCCAACCCCAAGAAACTGACAGTGGTTTCGTTCAGTGCTACTAATGATCTTCAGTAGCCGAAGACTTCCTTCCTCGTGTGGCCTGAACGTTTTGCTGGGTGAATGTGTGATTTGGAAAGTGGCCACAGAGACACAACCTGATAAAGTGCATTGTAGGCGTCACACGTTCCCTGGAGCTCTTGGGATCTGCATTAGATGAAGTTGAACTTAAAAGAGAGAAATGGAAAGTTAACTCTTATGCTAAGGGTTTTTGCAGATGTGCTTTCTAAAGTGCGAAGGCTCACTTTGTTAGTTCCTTTTCTTACTGAATGTTTACAGTCAAGCTAATGGTTCGCGTGGCAGACTATTTTTAAGACCTGAGTGTCTGGCTCTCTCTTACCTTGCCTTGCCTTTCCCACTTGCCGCTTTTTCTTCCAGAACGTCCAGGGAGTCATGGCCCCCGACTTGTTGCTTGTGTTATCTGCGTGCTAAGCAGTGTTGGCATTTGTATGTCCCTCTGGACAAAAAAAAAAAGTCATCATTTTAACCCAAGGATCAGAATGCTACAAGTTAAAATGAACCTCTAAGGAGTTTTTCTGTTCTGCACTCCAGTCTTCGCTCAGCTCCAATCAAATCATGCAACGTAGTGGTTTAATCAAATTTATGAAATTTCTGAGGTTATTTTCAAAACCACCTTCTGGTTACGTGTTTTAGGACAGATCACCTGTGACCATAAAGAAGCTCATCCTTAGAATTATTAATTTACAAAAACTGTCATGCACAGAGATAGACATGGTGAGAGTAAGTCACCAGAACTTAACTGTAGTGCTTGCTCCCTGGCTTCATAGAGACCCAGCGACCAGTGGTTGGAATGCACCTGAACTAGGCTTTCACTTATGGTACATCTCATGTTTTAATATGCTAATTTGCCCTGGCAAATACCTCCAGAAGTGAGTTTCAACTCTTCAAATAAGTAATCCTACAGGTGCTCGAAGAGCTTTCAGGATTTCATCAAAAACCTAAAAAGAGTAGGAACACCTTTGTTCAGTTGAATCCTCAGAAAGGTAGAATAAAAGACTAATTGTCCCCTGAGTGACATGCCATTCTACACTGTTTGTTTTTACTTTATTAAATCATGCTTCCCCTAAAACCTGCCTCTGGGATTCACAGTTCTCTTCAGTGTGTGCTCTTCCCTAGTCCCTCTGCTAAAAACTTTGTCACCTTTCCTAAAATACTTAACTAAAAGTGAACCTGGCATCTGTTTGGTACTTTGCAGTTTATAAAGACATTCCCTTCCCCCAACCCCATAAAGCAGGATCACTGTGATTCATCATTTTACTAAAGAAACTGGTAACCACCATTGGCTAAGTGGCAGGGCTAGAGTGAAGACCTTCTTGCTCATATTGCCTGTCACAAATGGCAGCAAGGACACAGCCACTGATTTCTCCTTTGGATTCAGAATGGGAGGGATTTGACCTAATGGTAAGGAGGCCAGTGTGGCCAAGGGGAAAAAGCCATCTGACTTATTCTAATCCTGAGGTGGTGGTAGTAACCTTTGTAGCTGGTCAGGAAATAGTTTGCAAAACGCCTTACCACAATAACTCTGCTGGTTTGTTCTGATTTCGAAACACTAAACCTGTATCTATATGAGCAAAATAAAGCCAACAAGATCACTACATTCATGTTTGTGGAATTGCTGTTGAAGAATAATTCAAAAAATATAATACTTTTGGCAAATAGTTTTCTAGATATGAGTGAAGGGGTTACATTTTCTGGAGTGTTTGCATAAATTTTCACATGCCAGTGTAAGACCGGGCATAGTCTCCAAGAGGCTCTAATTGTTATCTCCATTTGTTATCTTTGAGATGCCTTGCTATAGTGCAGGGGATTTAATTTTATTTCAATGTCAGGCATCATTAACATCTTTTTGATAATAATTATGAAGTGTAGATTTCTGAAGAGATGCCAGGCATAGTTTATCATTCATTTATCTTTTAGGCAAAGATAACTATATCAAAATGTATTTATTGTTGTCTTTTTTCTTTTAAACCTGAGAAGAGTTTTACCATTGTTAAGAGTAGAAAACACTCATGTCATAGGCTTTTTCTATCTCCCTTCTTTTCTTCATGCTTAAACATACGTTGAGGCCCTGTGGTACACCAGGCACTGTGCTCAGTTACATGGAACACAAAGCTAAACAAACAGATTTCTTCTTGGCAAGACATTGAGTCTAGAATACTGGTTCTCAATCAGGGGCCATGTCTGGAGACATTTTTGGTTGTCACTACTGGGGGGATGCTGTTGACACCTACTGGGTGGAAGCTGCTAAGCATCCTATAATGCGTAGGACAGACCCCCATGACAAAGCAATAGCTGACACAAATGTCAGGAGTGCTGAGGTTCAGAAACCCTGATCTAGAGCAGCTCTCTTCAGCAGAACTGCCTCGGAAGATGAAATTATTCTATATCTGCACTGTCCTGTATGGTTGCCACTAGCCACATGTGGATTCTGAGCACTTGAAATGTGACCAGTGTGACTGAGGAACTGAATTTTAAATTTTATTTAATTTTTGTGTTTTTGAATTTAGATGCAAAAGCTGCTTGTGGCCAGTGGCTACTGTCTTGGACAGGGCAAGTATAAAAGAAGAGATTAATGCGGGTGCCTGGGTGGCTCAGATGGTTAAGCCTCTGCCTTCGGCTCAGGTCATGATCCCGGGGTCCTGGGATCGAGCCCCGCATCGGGCTCCCTGCTCCGCGGGAAGCCTGCTTCTCCCCCTCCTTCCTGCTCGGGCTCTCTCTCACTATCTCTGTCTCTCTCAAATAAATAAATAAAATATTTAAAAAAAAAGAAGAGATTAATGCATTAACTGGTGATGACAGCTCCATGTGAGATGACTCTTAAAACCAGGCTCCTGAGAGGTGTCACGGGAACACAGAAGGAAGAAATCTGAGTTAGACCTGGGCAAGAGTCACCTTCTCTTAAACTGAATGTTGAAAAATTGAAAAATATGAAACATGCCCACATATAAAGTGACTTGAATATGAAGTAATATTCCCATCTACCTAATGAGAAGATTCACTTAAAAAATAGCTTAGGGAGATGACACGAATAACTTTTTAGGGGAAAATGTCTACTTGTAAAATCTAATGGCTTTCCATTTCATTATACAAACATTTAGAATCAGATATATATACACATATCTGTTTATATATATGTGTTGCGAAGTATATATGCTATGTTTTTTTCCAGTTTCACATCTTGTGAAGTAATGTTTTTTCCAGCTCTTCAGTTTCATCTCTGGTGTAGAGTTGCTACTCATCCCTAGAGCCACTGCGTTATCTACACGTTGTCCCAGAACACACTGTCCGACTTCCATCCAAGCTGTTTGTGATAACAGCACTTGTAAAATCTGTTGTAGAGGGGCGCCTGGGTGGCTCAGTTGGTTAAGCGTCTACCTTCAGCTCAGGCCATGATCCTGGGGTCTTGGGATCAAGTCCCATGCTGGGCTTCCTGCTCAGTGGGGAGTCTGTTTCTCCCTCTCCCCTTCCTTCCCGCTCCTGCTCGCTCTCT